CTTCAATCTCTGCATATTATATCAACTAGAGAGCGATCGTGTGATATATAGCGTGTGATCCTTATGTCATAGTCCAGTCTGCCTATGCTGCAGGTCCTGGGTTTGAATTTTTCTTGTCTTACTGCTCCGTCCGCTCGACCGCCCGCCCGCCCGCCCACCTTGCTGTGATCGGAGCCTGTGGGCCGTGGGGGAGGGACCAAGAGGTGCTCAATGCACCTCATGGTGACTGGTCATGTGATCAGCCTGGTCATCATGGACACTGGCTTTTTATATATAGATGACCAGTTCAGCTCCCAATGAGTCAAAAGCTCATACTAATTTTTTATTCTTAATTTCCTCAAAGAAATACCCAAGCTTCTCCAATTTTAAAGAACTATCTCTGCTAGGCATCTTTTAGACACTGATTTATACCAGGCAAAAACACCTCAATTTCAGTTCATTCCTCCCCCAAAAGACATTCTTGTTTTTAACTACAGGGTCAACATTTGAGCCTTGTAGTCATCCATATTTCATTACCTAGTCCTTAAGGAAGGAATAGTTTTTTATTCACTTTAGAGATCCCTACTATTTAAAATTTGATGTAGCTGATCACAGTTTTTCTGTAAGAATTGCAACTTGCAGAGTCCCACTGGAAAGAATGCCAGGGCCCTGGCCGGGTGGTTCAGTTGGTTGGAGTGTCATCCCGTACACCAAAAGGTTTCAGGTTTAATCCCTGATCATACGGGGAGCAACCAATAGATGTTTCTCTCTCACATCAATGTTTCTCTCTCTCTCTCTCTCTCTCTCTCTCTCTAATATCAGTAAAAACATATCCTCAGGTGAGGGTTTAAAAAAAAAAAAAAAAGAATGCCAGGTTTGCTACAATATCCTCCTGCCTAAAATCATACCCCCTATTGGTAACTCCCCCTCTTTACTGCAATAGATGGAATGAACATATGCCCTAGTTTCCCAGAAACATCCTGTTACACACCAGGGTGTAATTAGCGAATAATCGTTCCCCAGTTGTAATCATTAATAATGCCTCCTTTCACTCTCAAAAATGTCCCAGTTTAGACAAAAAAATTATATAATCACCAGGAGTTTGTTAACACATTTCGTACCGCTCAGGAGTTTTCTCGTGTTTCGCGAGCCATCTGTTAAGGACCACTCACGAGTGTTCTCGTTTTTCACGCCCATGGAAAAAGGAGCGAATCTAGAATACTTATGTAAATTTTGTTTGGTCCCTCTTCATAGAGGAAAATGTTTTACGCAGTACCATACGTTAAAAAAGTACTAGGAACTTTAATTGTTTAATTGTTTTTGTAAATAAAAATGTTATAATTATTGAAAAACAACACCTAAAGTGCATTATGATGATTTAAATAACGTGCAGTTTGCCCAAAAACGTGCGGTCCTTGGCGTATGTCTTAGAGATTTCTATGCGGTACACAATGTGTTAAAACCACAGACACCAGGGCTCCATCCCAACCTACTGAATCAGATTCTTGAGATGGGGGCGGGAGGTGGGTAACTGTGCCAGACACCTGCATTTTTAACAAGATGAGCAGATGACTCTGAGGGGTAAGGAAGCATCTGAGAATCACTGTCATAAACCATGGGCAGGCCTATAAGCGCAATCAAGCTGTTGGTTCCACACCTTACTTGGCATGTGAGGACAATTAGATTTGTGAGCAAGATGTTCAAATTCTTACCAGATTTTGCAAGTTTGATTTTTCCCCACTTACCAATCATTTCCAGGTGTGCCACTAATTTGGACACATTTGCTTTAGCAAGCTCACTGGTGGTCTTATTCAGCACGAGAGAGAGTGAATGAACCTAAGCACACAGAAGACAAAGTTAGACAAATGTTACTAGGAGCGGGGAGGGCGGGGAAGGGTGTCCTTTAACAGAACAACAGAACAAAGTCAAGGAAGAAGCAGAAAGGTAAAACTTCAAATTGATGGCAATTTCATTTCAGCTTTCTTCAGCCAGTCAAACCATAATCTAAGGACTAAGGAGAGAGCTGATAAGATAGGAACTCAAAGGGGCAATCTACAACCCAGGCTCTGCAGTGTCTTCTCTATGGCTGCTTGTCTATGCTGTCACCACCTGAACCCTCTATCTTAGCATGAATTGGAGCATCACTAAAAGTGGGACAACCAGATGTCTTATACTTCCTGGTGGAAAGTAATAGGATGCACTCAGCACCACCTAAAAAATGTTTTTACCAAAAACTCAAACCTGAATCTGATCAAGTCTCTAGAACTAACTTCCATTTCTAAAATTAGAAGATAAAAGAATCAAATGGCAAATCCGAGATGTGGGACACCCTACAGCACACTAACCCAGTGTCTACAAGTCAACTGCATGGGGGGAATAAAGGAGAAGGAAAACTGGCTTAATTAACAGATTTCAGAGACATGACAGCAACTGTAACATGTGAACCTTATTTGAATCTCCATTCAAAAGATTCAAACGTCCTTTTAATTCTCCTCATTTTGTAGATGAGGAAACTATGGCTCAGAAAAGCAAAGTATTCCACTGAATTGTAGACCTCAAAGGAAAGACATGAAGCTTCTTAATTCGTTCATTCCTCTACAATGCACAAGTAAACGAGCATTTTTGAGAAAATAAGGGAATACGTAGTACCAAGAAATTCTTGCTAAGGTAGTTAGATGTAACAATGCATTGTAGTTATATTTTAAAAGTCTGTATTTTTCAGGAATGAAGACTGAAGTTTGTAGAGATGAAATGATATCTAGAATCTGCTTTAAATAATTCAGCAAAGAGAAAAAAGGAGAAAAGTAAATGAGATGATTCCCACAGGTTTTGGTACATGGGCATTCATTATACTACTAGAGGCCCGTTGCACAAAATTCATGTATGGGTAGGGTCCCCAGGTCTGGCCAGCAATCAGAGCGGCCAATAGGGGCCTTCTGGCTGCCGGCCAGGGCCTCCCTTCATTCCGCGCCACCCCCTGGTGGTCAGCGCATGTCATAGCAAGCGATTGAATTCCCGGTCTCCCAGTCAAACTCCCCAGGGGACACTTTGCATATTAGCCTTTTTTTTTTATATATATATATATTTTATTTATTTTTATTTATTTTTATTTTTTTATTGCTTAAAGTATTACAAAGGGTATTACATATGTGTCCCTTTTTTTCCCCCGCCCTTGACAATCCCCTGGCCTCCCCTATCCCCCAGTGTCTTATGTCCATTGGTTATGCTTATATGCATATTAGCCTTTTATATAGAGAGACTAGAGGCCTGTTGCATAAAGAGATTCGTGCAATAGGGCATTCCTTTCCCCTGGCTGCTGGCACCGATTTTCCTCCGGCACCTGGCACCCAGGTCTTTGCTCTGGCCGGGCTCCAGCTGGAGCCGGCCTCGCGGCCGTGAGACTTTCACTGCTCCACTGGCCCCGGGGCTGTCAGGCTTCGCTCCACTGCTTGGAGTCTATGTATGCAAATTAACACCATCTTTGTTAGGTTAATTTGCATACTCTCCTGATTGGCTGGTTAGTGTAGAAAAGGTACGGTCAATTTACATGTTTGTCTATTATTAGGTAAGAAGATTCTCTCTGTGATCTATTTGAAAATCTTTACATTAAAAATGTTTTTAAAGTTCTTATTTTAAAAAAGTCTATTTTTGAGAGGCAGTTATCTAGTCCTGTTGTCTTATGAAACCAGCTACATCTGTTACCTTAATTAGATGATGGAAGATGAGGAAACTGAGGCTCAGAGGAACTAAGTAATTCCACTGAATTATACAAACCAAAGAAAGTTTTTTAAACCGTTTACTTTCCCTGCCTCCAGATGGGATTTACACTCAAACCTTTTCTAAGCCATTGTCTACCCTTTTGTAACAGATATACAGTGGGGCCTTGACTTACGAGTTTAATTCGTTCGGAGACCGAGCTCGTTAAGGAGCTCGTTAACTCAAATTACTCTATCAACTCAATGCAAAAAATCGGCTGAGAGACAGCTGGTATCTCAAAAAACTCGTTAGTCGGGACACTCATAAGTCAAGGCCCCACTGTATATAGCTCCCCTACCAATGGATCTATTTTCTAGAGTAAATGCACGATGATCGAATTTCAATAAACAAACTAACATTCTTAGAACTTCAAGGAGTGAAAGGGAGCTGATACCTTGAGATCCAGCTTGGTGTTAACTGGATCCTGAAGTTCAGGCTCTGACAGAGCATTTGCTTCTGACTTCACGTTTTGTAGAATATCCTCAGGCATAGGTACCTTCATTGCATGGTTGTCTGCAGTGGAACCAATTCCAAAAAAATCTAGTATCACAACCCAAGTCTGCAGTGTGATGAGCACATCCAAGCAGTTAAAATCAACATCAATGCTCCGGTTAATTCGGTTGTAAATGGAAGAGAATTCTGGGTGTTTCTTATCCACCAAGAATATATTGATGTGGACCAAGGAATCATCAAATTTACTCTTTCCAGCAAGTGTCTTGGGCTCATCTACTGTTGGAGAAGGAGGTGGGGTCAAGGGACAGTCCTGGTCTTGGACTTCCTTTGGCTTCTTCTTGGATGCCGAGGTAGGTCTCTGATACAGCTGAAAGACATTAGGAGCTTCTTCCATGTGGGAAGGCAGAGAGCGAGGCATGTCAGGATACTCCACATTGGATATCGAAGGGCAAGACTGAGAGAGATATTCTTTTTGTGCTAAACTTGACGGCTTAGGGGCTCCCCGAGACACCATCAGGTTCTTATATTTAGAATCCGGATTTTTCTCCAATAAGTCTTCCATCAGCAGAGAACGCAGGGCAATCTGAATGGATAAGGTCTGGGGATGGTCTTTATTGAATTCCACCTCAAAATCCTGAAACTTTAAGCTCACCAGCCCCTGGGCCCCCAAGGTCAGATCACCACTTAGCTGAACTTGAAGCTCTGATATACAAAAGTTGGCTTGAATCTGGGTAAAAGATTTGACCTCCTTCACAGACGAGGACTTCTGAGAAGAGTTAGAAAGGCTGGAGTGGCTGAACAATCCATTCTCCTTCCTTTCAAGGGAAGGTTCTCCACAGGTACTGAGGGAAGGCAGAGGAGAGTTAGGGCAAGGTGAGGAGGCGGCACTGACTGGAAACTTATTCAGGTCTTCACTATACACGAGATTGTCCAGCGTTTGTAAAACCTGCTCATACACATGCTTCGCTAACACCACCTGTATGCAAAGAGAAAAAAATCAGTTATTCTGTTACCATTATTAATTGCACTCAGCTGCACTGCCCAAAAATTACCCAAGTTGCCTTTTATGGGTTTCCAAAGAGGTTATAAATCAGTTGATGGCAAGAACTTTCTCTTTGTTTCTTTTCTGTCCTTACCTCTCTCTGACCCTGTCTATTCAAAGGGCCTCCCCCAGTACCTCATGGAATAACCAATACACAATAAGTGTTCAATAAGTGCAACTGGTTGTAGGCCTGAATCACTCTTCCTAACCACACAAGAACAACTGCAGAAACTGAAGGGAATGCTGCTACAAGTCCAACGTGGTGGTACCACAGGGCTGAGAAACAAGATCCATGGTTCTAAAACCACTGATCATCACCAAGCAGCATAACCACCTGTGTTTACACTTGGAGTGCAGGTGAATTTCCCGCCAAAATATAAGATGGCTCTGTCTTTTGGTTTTGTTCCATCCACCAAAAGGGTGGATTACAAACAAATATTTGGTAATACGCAGTTACAATCGGCCCGAGTTTACACGTTTCCCGCACTCCACCGCAAATCTATATGAACCGAGTTAAAGACGGCTCCCTCGGAGTACGCGCAATTCACGCGAGCCGACTTAACTCGTTTCCCGCACTCCAAGTGTTTACAGCTAAACAAATACAGAGTGCTCTTTAATGGTAATAGTAATGATCTATTACTACCTATGTTTCCTTTCTCCCTTATTTTGTTTTTAATTACAATTTCTCATTTAAAATACTTTCAAGCAAGTTTTTTATTTACTTAAGAGCAATTTTTTAACAGAGGAATTCCAAACAGATATAAAAATGATAGAATTAGAAAGTTATCATTTTGTAACCCCTAATTAAATAATTTATCCCATCACGGTTCATCCATGTAGAATAAGCTCTTCTATGAATGAATGAATGAGAATTTTGCAATGAAGGGATCAGGTTCCTGCCACCGGAACACAATCACCAATCTTAGCATCACTGAGGGACAACCAAACATTACATGTCTCCTGACACAATGCACTATGAAGCCCACGGCACTACCTCTGAAGTGTCTGGCCGAAACAAAACAAAACAACAAAAATGAACCTGAATCCAGTTAAATCTGTAGAGTTAAGTTACAGTTTACAGGAAATGTGGGGGGACAAATTAAGTAACACCCCAAACAAACAGCTAATCCAGAATGTGGGACATTCTACAGGGCAACTGACCTGGTTTTCACAACAAAATAATAGCCTGGGGGAAAAAATGAGAGGGAACCTAAATTAACAGAGACCTACAAATGCAACGTGCAGACCTTGTCTGGACCCTGATTTGAACAAGCCTAAAG